AACGGGAGGGCCGCAGCTGTGGCCAGCATCTCAGGAGGGACGCAGATCCCTGCACCACTGGCCTTTTCCTTTCCCTTCCCCGTCCACGGCGTTCTCCCCAACACACCGCTGCTTCTGCCTCCTTCGAGACTGGCCCCCAGTGCCTGTACCGCCAGCCACTCATCACCAGGGAGCAAGGTCCTCCCACTCTGGGACCAGCGCCCCAGTCAGCCTGTGCTGGAGCCGTCTGCCAGATGCCGCCCACCTCCCTGGGGAGAAGGGCCCCTGTGAGAGGGGTGCTGGTGGGAGCAGGCCCCGGAGGACCTTCCCCGGGCGAAGGGCGAAGGTGTCTGTGTCCGTCTCCAGCACAGAGCCTGCTTGGGGTATGGGCTGTCACCTGACCTCCCTCCCTGGGGCATCCCTTCACCCTGCATCCTCCTGACGGAGAACAGTTACTAGGACTTGGTCAAGCTGTGGGCTTACCCTCTGCGCTGGCCAAGGAAGGCAGCGCAGCGCCCTCAGGGGACAGTCACCATGTCCAGCCTGGTCACTAATTACAGGGCACGCCAGGTGTTCGGCCAGAGCTGCCTGGAAACAGCACAGCGGCTCCGTTTTCGTCAGATGTTTCTCATTCTGTGTGTTTTCAGTCCAGCCAGGATTTTCTGGGGATTCCTTTCTAGGGCTACCCTCTCTTTGCTCAGCTGTGTACGTCCACATGGCTGTCGTGGCTGCTCTGTCACCTGGTCAGCCTGGGGAGGTAAGGCCCGTGGCCTGTTTGCATCAGGGTGGGGGAGCAGTGAGGACACAGGGAGGCTGGTGGGTGGGTGTGGGATGGACGCAGGCAATGGAGCCTGCGAGGTGGACCAGAAGCTGCAGGAGGTCAGGAGGGCACAACCAGGGGGCAGCCTACTCTCAGAACAAGTGACCAGAGCCCACAGAAGATTCTGGAAGGAGCTACCTTTCAAGCGCTGCTCTTCCTGGGGATGGTTTCTGCCTCCTGGGGTCAAGGCTGAGTCTGGCAGAGAGCACACAGGCCATGTGCTTGGGCGAGGTGAGGGCAGAGCCCCCTGCACCCTGTGGAGAGCAGTTTACACAGCACTATATATATATATTTATAAATATATAAACATGTGTGTTTATAAATATATACATATTTAACACACACACACACCCCAGTAGAACCACCCCCTCCCTCGTCCCCCAGGCGAGGCCGTTCACCCAGAGTCTACGTTGTGTCCCCACCTGCCCACCCCTCATCTCATTGGAGGCTTGTCTGTTTGCCGAGGTCAGCTGGTTCTCACTTAGAGACCAGGACTGTGCCCTTTACAATGTGTGCGGGAGCCGGAGCACTGATGCGTTGTCTGAGGTTCACATGTCATGTCCTGCATGGAGTGGCCAAGTGAACCCATGGCCACTGACCAGCCTACAGGAGCCTGCGGTGCTAATTAACCAAACAGCTTGGACAGCAGTGCTCCAGCCCCGAATCAGGGTGCCGGGCAGGCGCAGGTCCCCTGACCAGGTCTGGCCAGCTTCTACCTGTTTGTCCAGAAGGAATGTAGCACTGCCTCCACCCCAGTCCACAGATGCATTGGGTGGGGGAGGGGGGGTGCTGGAAACCACGTGCTCTTTCTGGAACCCCGTTGCAACGGAGGGAAATTGTAGTGCACGCCACCATTCTTTTGACATTGTTTCTGTAAGTGGGGACTCTGACTAACATGTAGCTTATAGATGAACAGCATGTTGTATTCGAATCCTGGGAAAACCAACTTTAAAAGAGAAAGACTCTGACCTTCAGGCATCCCAGCTCGGGGTGAGTCCCGGATGACTAAGCCAGGCTGACGCACACGGGACCATCACTTGCCCTGTGGGAATGGGCTCTGCTCGGCCGCACGTAGAGAACTTTCCAACCCCTTCCTTGATCTCTTTGTTCTGTCCCCTTCCCTTCCTTGTGAAAAACTCTGCCTCCACTGAGGTGGGAGATGGGCTTTGAGATGTGAGTCCCCCCTCTTCCAGGGGGTGGCACCTGAAAATAAACCTCTCCCCTTCACGTCGACACCTGCCTCTCGAGTCTGGGCTTTTGCAGCAGCAGGCAGCGGACCTGCAGTGTGGTTGCACCGTGAGATACACTGTGGTGGTCCATGACTGGCAGCAGGAACCATCCTGGAAACAGAACGTGCCTGCGCAGCCGGGCGTGGTGCAGGCATCGCGCCCCCGAGTGTGCGGACTTTCTCAGATTTCCGGTGTCTGTGCCTGGGCACTCCGTCTGCAGCACCGGCACTGGGCAGACGGTGCTTTGTGGGAACACACAGTAAACTCTCCAGTAACCTGATTTCCCTGCGAATTGAGAAGGGAGGGCCAGCTGTCAATTTTAACAGCAGAGCAGATATGCTGAGCTCCCAGCCGGCACCCCAATAGCGAGGGAAGCCTCGGGGGGGCAATGAGGAGGGTGTGGGAAAGGTGGGGGGGTCACATCTCGGGAACAGGAGGGGAGTGTCACCTACAGACTTGTATCCTCTTTTCCCCTCTGCAACAGAATTATAAAGTAATCCCAAAGGATGAAAAAAGGACACATGTTAAATTTAAGTGTTAAAAATCAAGGAAAGGCAACAAACTTGTAAGATTAAATTAAAGAGGTACGTAGAGAAAGTTACATGTTCTCATTGTGAATATTGGGAAACAAAATATTTCTGAAATTAATGCTCCAGGCTTTTACTGCAAGATGTGAAATAGACTGTTAGCATAGACTCAGAGCAGGAGAGACTCTTGCAAGAGCCAGGATCCATGTGACTGCATAGGGCCCCGTGGAGCCCAGGGACACATCAAACTGGGTCTGTAAGCAGATCAGGAAAACAGAAGAATATCAGTCAGCGTGGGCTGAGGAGTCGAGGAAGGCGCCGGTGTGTCAACAGTGAAACTGTAGATCGGGACTGACGGAAAGCCACAGCGGATATCAGGGGCAGCCTCGTGGCGTTGTCCTGAAGTCATGTGCGCCACACCGGGAGGTTCGGTCAGGAAGGAACACTCCGAGGACTTCCGGAGATTTCCCCACTGACAAAAGCGCTGAGGTGAAGTCAAGAAAAAAGAGACATCTTGATAAACACTGGTCTTAGAAACGTTGAAACAGCAATCAGAAATCTCTGTAGAAATGTACCTAAAGATACATTTCTTTTATCTTTATCTTTTGTCCAGCAGCTGGCTGGCATCCTAACGTCCTTCTTCCCGCAGCGTCCACCCAGAGGAGGCAGCACGGGAGGGGCCTGGGGCCAGATCACCTGGGATCCAGCGGTGACTCAGCCTCAGGGGCGCGGTCACAGGCAGACCCAGGGCCTCCTGTTAGAAAAGAAACCCTACTGTTTCCAGCGCTGTAGCCAGAGTTTCAGCCTGACACGAGCTATGAGCACATCACTGATGGTGAGTGAGGACAGGCCCGGGATGACCCGCCGGATGCAGGGAAGACCTGCAAGGAAGTCCAGCACCCAGTCACGGTTTAAAGCGAAACACGGCCCTCAGAGGGCCGGGAATGGGAGGTGCGTCCACCAGTGAAAGACATTTACTGGCAGCCTGGAGCCAGCGCCCACTGAGCAGGGAGGAGCCTTGTCACCAACGCCAGCAGGGCAGCAGGTCTGCTGTGGCTGCCTCTGTTCGACCTCGCACTGAAACGGGAGCCTCCAGCTGGGCCGTCGGCACCCCGCCCCTGAAACCGGAGGAGCAAAGGGCCGTTAAACATTGCCATCATTAGCAAAACGCAGTTATCAGATCTGCGCCGTCCAACAGGCAGCCTCGCCACCAGTGGCTTCGGAGCACTTGAAACGTGGCGAGTGTACGTTGGGACTCCCTGTAAGCCTCAGACTCGCAGTGGATGGCCAAGCCCTGGAAAATGTGTGGGCGCTCTCCTAATTTTTGTGTGGAGTTCACACTGACGTGATCTTTCAGGTATATCGGGTTAAATAAACTATGTATTAATTTCATCACGTGTATTTTTTTTTAAATGTGGCCACTGGAAAATTGAAAATTGCTCACGTGGCTGGCACCGTATCGTGTGGAGCAGCGCTGGCCTTGGTCGGGAGCCTGGAGGAACAGCCCGCGTGCGCTCAGCTGCGGGCGACAGAGACCCGCCCAGCAGATGCCGCGGAGAGGGGCCCTTCAGGCCTGTTGGGTTGAGACCCCACCAGAGCCCTTGTCCTGTGTCTTGTCTTCTCCGCATCAGACCTACATATCTGAAATTACTGGAAATAAGCACTGCATCCGGGCATCCTAAAGCCTTTGTCAGTGTTTAAATCTCTCATCCTCTCCCGGCCCACGTCTGACTGAGCGCCTGAGTGCCGGCTGGTGCAGCGCCAGAGCACCGCTTTGTGCGTGGACGGGCTTGTGTTTCAGTGACGGCCGCCGGTCCCCCCAGGACTCTCTCCGACTGGACCACTCTGCCGAACCCGTGTGTCCCTCGCTCCCACCGAGTGTTGGCACTGTCCCCTCCTCACCTGCGGGGCCTGCCCCTCTCCATGGAGCCCCCACCTTCCTTCCACTGTCCCCCAGCGAGACCCGTGGTGGCATGTTCTCTGCTGGGCTCCCTTGGGCTGGAAAGCCACCCAAATTCCCTGGTCCTCCTCGCAGTCTGGTCTTGCTAGCCCCGTACCTACCACCTTGCCACTTCACAGATGCCAGCTCAGTGCCACGAAAGCATCCTCATGTCACATAAGGCGCAGCTTCGGGGCTGCCTGAGGGCGTGGGCATCAGGGCAGAGGGCTTTGACTCCAGGAGAGAGCGCGCCATCCCGCTCCTCAGCCGACGCTCAGGGACGACTTGAGGATGGAGTGGGGAGGGGGTGCCTCTGGTCGCCCTGGGCAGGACCTTGCTGCTGCTTGCCTCTCCCTGCCACTTGTGAGAGAGCCGCACCCTGGCCGGGGCTGGGGCAGGGGCAGCCCCAGCTCCTGGGCCGCTTCCGCAGGAGGAGTCAGAGGAGGGGGTCAGGAGGGGTTCCCGGGTGGCTGTGCTCCTGGAATGACCCCAGTCTGTCTCCCCAGATCGCAGTCATGACGCTGACGCTCTTCCCCATCCGGCTGCTGCTCGCCGCCTTCATGATGCTGCTCGCCTGGCCCTTCGCGCTCGTCGCTTCCCTGGGACCCGCAGAGAGGGACCCGGAGCAGCCCCTGGCCCTGTGGCGGAAGTAAGTCCTCGCCCGTGGTGCTCCGATGGGGGGGGGGCGGGTCACAGGGCCGTTTCTTCGTCGTCACAGCTCCCGGCCCCCAGTGCGGCCGGCCCAGTCCGTCCTCCCCTCCCCCAGGCAGTGTGCGCCAGGGCTGCGCTCTCCCAGCGGGGACAAGGTCTCCAGCTTCTGACAGGGCCTGCTGAGCCGCATGACTGCTATTTCCACGTCCTGAGCACAGAGACCCCTCATTTTCCATGTTTCCCAGGCCCCCACGTCCAGCTGGCGTGTGTTCCACCTGCCGCCCCCGGTCCGGTCTCTGCAGGGGCGAGTGCCCCTCCTTGCTTTGGAGACCTGAGTGCCTCCTTGTCTGTACGTCGTGAGTACGAGAAACCCCAGTGCTCTGGAGGTGGACACGTGAACACGTGTCAGCTGAAGACCCAGCGTGGACCTCAAAAAGTTAAATCAGTCACTGTGTTTTCCCGTTGATTTAAGTGCCTAAAGCTGCTGTGTCAGAACAGCCTAAGGATTTTGGTATCTTTAGTGTCTTAAAAGACATCATTCCTATTGAGGATCCTTCCATCTTGGCATCTGCAGCTAGTCATAAGGATCCTCGAATGGTTTGCTCAGAAGTAGAAGCATTGTTAGTTCGGTGGACAGAGTCCGCCAAAGGACCCACAGGCCAAGTCTGGCTGTGGCTCATTTTTTGTAAATAAAGGTTTATTGGGACACAGCCACCCCCACTCGTTTATGTGCTGTCCAGGCTGCGGTCATGCACACCCGGGCAGTGGTGACAGAGGCCACTTGGCCCACAAAGCTTCATGCACATGCCGCCCAGCCAGTACAGGTTGAGTGGGTGAGCTCATCCTCTGTTCTCTGGAATGTGTCGGAGCCGCAGGTGCACTGAGGCCCAGGGGAGGGTGTGGGAACTGGCCCCTGTCCCGAGTGTGGGTTCTCCTGACACCCACGCGCCCTGGTCAGACAGCAGTTACACGCGGGGCCAAGGTCCGAGGGTGTGCTGAGCCGTTGTTGAGCGTGCTGTGGCCTGGCCTAGGGACGGTTCGGGTGTCCAGGGGTCTTCATGGTAGTTCATTTCTTAGACCATTCTCGGATTCAAATGGACCGCAGTCTCCCTCCCTCCCTGGGAGGTCTGAAGGCGGGCTGTGGCTGTCTCCCCACTCTGTCCCAAGCGCGGTGCATGGCTTGTGTGTGCCAGACGGCAGTTCCCAAGTGAAAGAGTGAGTGGGAGGAGTGGGTGGGTGGGTGAGTGAGTGACTGAGCGGGGCGGGGGGTGGGGGGAGAGGGAGCGAGTGAGCTCGTGCTGCCGGGCCTGGTGCCCCCGCGGCCCCTGTGGCGCTGGGGCGGCACTGCAGAGCCTGCACGGTTCTCCTTTCGGGATGTTTAGTTTCCCTTTGAAGATCACATTTTTGGCAAGTGGTGTTTTTTTTTAATGTTATTACTGTAAAATATAAATTAGTATCAAATACATAATGGAGCAAAATAAATCTAGACCAAATAGGAATCAGGACTTCCATTTTGGAAGGTTGAGAACCGTAGCTAGAAAGCAGAGATTTTGTAGTTTTTGACAAATTACAAGTGACCTGATTAAAAGTTTGGGATTTTAGTAGTGGCAGGAAAGTAACACTTCCCGGCACTTTCTGTGTAAGTTCTTGTTTCCCCTGCTCGGTCCTTAGGCAGTGCTCCCCCTGGCTCCACCCTCCTCTCCCGCTGCAGATTCTGTCTTTTCCAAACAGACGCCTCTGGTCCAGTTTCCATTCCTTAGACCCACTCCAGGAAGCCTTTCCTGTCTGTGAATAACTCACTTGGCCTCATCGGGGGATGAGTGGGCCGCAGCAAACAGGGCCCATAGCCCTGCCTCACAGATGCCTCGTGTGTACGCCCCCTGGGTGTGGAGAGCACACACAAGGAGGCACAGGGTGTCTTCAGCTTCACGAGCACTCTGGGCATATAGGTCCACAGAGACTGTGTGTCATTCTCTGTGTGTGTGTGCATGCATATGCACGTGTGTTTCTGTGCCTGTACATTTGCACACGCGTGTGCACATGTGTGCACACGCTCACACACTACAAGTGTGGGGGTGCACTTGTGCGTGTGCACATGCATGTGTGCGCATGTGTGTTTTGTGAGTGTGCACACATGTGTACAGGTGTTCAGGCTGCGCACGTTGCCCCACGTTGAATTCCCGTAGCACAGCCCTCAGGGTCTCTGTGCAGCAGTATTACGGGAAACTCGCTAATGCCAGTTTCTCCCAGGGGAGAGCGAACACCACACATGGAACTCCTCAGAGGGAGACGCAGCGACAGAGGGGCTGAGTGTGGGACCAGGGGAGTCAAGAGGAAACGGGCTTTAAAGTGATGGGGTTCAGAGCATATGCACTTGTGCCCCGCACACAACGTGGAGCATCAGTGTGCAGTCGGCAGGGGAGGAGGGTCCCTTCCTGCCGCGCACGGCTGTTCGCTTCTGAGTAGACCGACGTTAGATCAGGGAGTGTTTTTCTGAATGTGAGTTAGTGTCATCCAGAAGTTCCTGAAATAAAAATCTTAGGCTTCCGAATGGAGGAGGAAGGACACACTTTTGCAAAAGGCACTCTAAGTTACTTTCCAAACGCACAGTGTTGTGAAAACTGTAGCATCATCTTGCAACACCCGACCAGCAGACTGACGCCAGAGCCAGGCCAGGCCAGACAGACCCATGGCGATGGTCGGTCTCGGTGCCGACCCTTTGGATGCTTGTGGGGGGAGGAGTGTGTCTTAGTCCTCTCAGGCTGCCTTCACCTACAGCCACCAGCTGGGAGACTGAACAACAGACCCTTACAACTGGATTCCAGAAGTCAGAGGCCAGGGGGCCGGCCTGGTCGGGTCCCCAGTGAGGGCCTCATCCTGGCTGCAGGTGCCCCCTTCTCACTGGGTCCTCACAGGACTGAGCATTCTGATCTCGCTTTTTCCTCTTATAAGGACACTGGTCCTGTCAGAGTAGAGCCCCTCCCTGTGACCACATTTAATCTTATTTCCAAACAGTTATATTGGGGACTAAAGCTTCAGCATAGGAGTCTGGGGCACATGATTCAGTCCTGAGTGCGTCGTGTGGGCACTCTGCTCTCAGATCTGAGTCCATCTTCACGACAACTCCTGGTGCCGTGTGTCCACTGGGGGCTGGAGCCTGGACTTGAACTTACTTTTACTTTTCCTCTGCTCTCCTGGAAGCCTCCTCCACCCCAGGGTCTCAGCTTAGGTTTGCCCCAGAGAGGCCCAGCAGCCCCCACATGCCACTCACATCCGCAGCCCAGCGCGGCCACCATGCCTGCTGCCCAGGGACCGTCCCTTCCACAGCCAGCCAGGCCCAGCATTGAGCTCGAAGCTCCTTGCAGCTCCAGGACGTAGCCTGAGACTCATGCTCTTCATTCTCAACTGCCAATGCTTCACTCCCTGGGGTGGTCCCATCAGTGCACAGGCCAGCTGTCCCCTCTCCCATGGTCCAGGTGCTCCCCTTTATAGCAAAACCATTTGAAATATGCAGACCAGTAGTCTGCAAGACCACGTGGACCTTAAGATCCAGGTGGACTGGGCTCTTGCTCCACTCCTCAACATGCCTGCATATTCAGGGACCAACACCCCAGCAGTCAACTCCAGGGCTCAGTGTCAGGACGCTCCCTCCACCCAGACACACTGTCTCCTCAGTGTCCAGTCATCCCCTCACCTCCGTGGCCCTTTCCCTGCTGTGGGCCCGTCATGTTCTGCTGGCTGTATCCACCTCTCCCCGACCTTGGCTGCAGTGAGTCCCTGTGCCCTCCTGGTGAGCTCCTCTAGGTCAGGAGGTCTGCAGCTCTCCACAGGCCAACGACTCCCAGGCTCCTTCCTCCACCCCAGACCTCAGCCCACCTGGAAGCTTACCTGTATGTGGGTGGTCTCCAATTCAATGCCCCAAACAGCGCTTCCAGGCTTCTATCTCCCCACCTGTTCCAGCCACAGCCCCATCTCCATCCGTGGCCAGGCCAGGCCCAGGAGTTACTGGGACCTTCCCTCTTTCACACACGTCTTTCCCACCACTGGGAAATGTGGTGGTTCCACCTCCAGACTGCCCTTGACCCTCCACTTGGTCCCACTGTCTCTGGCCCAAGTGCCAGTGTAGCCTGTCAGCTGCTCTCCTGCTTCTCCGTGTCAACACAGCAGTCAAGGCTCCTCTACAAATGGAGTCAGAGCATGGCTCGCCTCTGCCTCAGCCCTGCAGGAGCTCTGTGTCCAGGAACCCCAGAGTAAAACTCTCCTTCCCGTCAGCACCTGCAAGGCTCTCATGATCTGTCATCCCTCCTGCCGTCTTCCTTCTCCTCCCTTCCTCTCCTCCGCCACACTCCTGTCTTTTCAGCGCTCTCATGCACTCCTGCCCCAGGACCTTTGCACAGGCTGTTCTCTCCCTTTGATGTGCTTCACCCAGATATGCGCAGGGATAGCTCATTACTGTATGTCTGTGCTCAGGCATTTTCCCTCTGCTGTTCCTGACCCTCCTGACTTTGCTTTCCTTTATTTGTGTTATTTCACAGACAATACCTCATTCTGATTTACTCCATGATTCACTAATTTTTTAAAAACTCACTTCCCACCCTAGAGAGTGAACCGCAGGGGGGCAGGGGTTTCTGCCTGGGTTCCCTGGTGTGCCCTCATGCCTGGCAGAAAGTGGGTGCTCAGTAGACGCTGCATGAATGGAGGGAGTAGAGTAGTGAGGGAGAGCGGGTGGTAGAAGGCAAGTCTGCGGCCCACCCTTACAGGTCCCACTCTGCGGTTTCTGCTCCCTGCTTGTAGTTTGTCTCCTGTAGGCACCGTGACCCCAAGGAAAGACCTGTTACTTGGTCTGTTGAGGACAGACCCCCCAACTGCGTGGTGGGAGGCAGCTAGGTGCACCGTCTCACATTGCAGTGCCACCTTGTGGTGAGTTAGTACAGGCGCCCGTCATGGTCTTGGAGGTGGGCGTTCGTTTCCCACACCTGTGACTCTCCAGGTTATGTGCACATTAACTGGCTTTGCGTTTGAACTTTCCTTCCTTGAACTTTTTATTTTGCAGGATTTCAACCTTTTGTTTTGCCTCTTAACAAACGCATAGTGAGCCCTGAGTGTAGACCTGGTGGTCACCGCTGCTGCTGGGACCCCGCTCTCCTCCTGGCATGTGTCACTCAGCTCCTGTCTGCCGCCCTCTTGGGCACCGCCTGCTGTTTCCTGGGCTTGGTGCTGTTGCTTTTTCTTGTTTTTTTTTTTGGTCCAAGACTTTCTGGTGTGTTGGGTTCTTTTCTTAGAAGGAGGACATTCAAGAAGAACTCTGACATGTTTCGTGTCTACTAATATCTGTGATCTCCCTCTCCCTGCCCAATTGATGGACAGTTTGGGGATAGAATTAGAGGTTCCAAACCTTCCCTGGCTGCTGTAGCTCAGTGGATTGAGCATCAGCCCACAAACCAAAGGATCACCCGTTCGATTCCCAGTCAGGGCACATGCCTGACTTGCGGGCCAGGGCCTCAATTGTGGGCACACAGGAGGCAACCACATGTTGATGTTTCTCTCCCTCTCTTTATCCCCCCCCTTCCTCTCTGTCTAAAAATAAATAAAATCTTTAAACTTTTTTTGAAAAGTTCCGAATCTTACGTCCTCAGAGCTCTGCAGATGTGGGTCTGCTGCCTGTCCCTCCTGCAGCTCTGATGCTGGGATACCTGTGTTCCTCAGTGGGAGGCCTGGGAGTCTTTTCTGTCCTTTGTCACTTCCACGAGTCTTGAAGGAAATTTCTAAGTGTGAGACTTTTTAACACATTCCTTCTGCTCAGCACCTTGACAGGGTGTGAAGACGTATGTCTTCACTCAGCTCAGAGAGACTCTGCTCCTCTTGCCTTGTGGTCTGTGCCGCTTCCCGCCTTTTTTCTGCTCGTTCTGGGAGATTCCCTGCTCCATGTTCTCCAGACTTTCTCACGAATTGGTCATTTCTGCAGCGAGACCATCGATTTCCAAGAGTGTTTTCGTGTTCCCTGCACTTTTCAGAGGGCCTCATTCTTGACCTTCTGTAACAACACTGATGACAGAGTGAGTTTTTCACCCCTTCCCCCTTCCGAGCCAGCGCTGTGGATCTCTTTGGCTCAGAGTCTGTCCCCTGTCACATGGCTGGGTCTGCCCAGATCTCAGAGTCTAAGCTGTCCCCATGTGTGATGGGTGGAGGTCCCTGCCCTTGTGTGGGTAGATCTGTGTCCCGATTCATGTTCCCCTGGAAAAGCTCGGGCACCTTGGGCCCATCACCGCAGGCTGAGCTGTAGCGTGAGCGGTGCTGAGCCCCAGCGTCGAGCAGTGAGGGGGCTGTGCCCTGAGGCCAGCGTCCACGCAGCCTTCTGCACTTGAGTGGGGACGGAATTCCTCTAAGACCTTCGGAGAATTGTCAGGTCACCCCCCCCATATTTTTACTGTGGGCTGTTTGAGCTTTGATCTGAGGTGGCGGGGGGGGTGTCCTTCATAGAAAGATTGAGATTTGATCTCCACTTTTTAAAAACAGCTCTCCTCTCCCTTCTGCCTCCAAACCTGCCTTCCCAGGACGGGTCCTGTTCCCACGGCAGCTTCCTCCACAGCCCTGTCTCTTCCTCCTCATGCGTCACTGGGCGTCGGTCAGCTTTCGTGTCTGTGCACGTTGCTGCCGTGAACAATAGTGTGCACTTCACCCCACGTGCGGTGGGGCAAACAGTTCCAAGTGTTCGCCTGCACAGCCCCACTGGCTCGGGCGGTGAAGCCTCGCGCTCGGTCCCTGGCATCCCCGTGTGCAGCCTCCTCCACTGCTCATCACAGACGGTGGTATTCCCAGCGGCTTCTCAGGGTCCCGTGCTCTCCTGGCGACCGGCGACTGTTTAGGGCCGTCAGGCCTCATCTTCTGGAATTTTCTTGAGGGTTCTGAATCCTCTTGGGAGGTCAGTCCAGTGGGGCTTGAGGCTCTGGAGTTTCCGCAGTGACTTTGCCCAGTTTGACCACCTAGGTGACCCAGCGGCTGGGTGAGATGTGGCTCCTTGTGAAGCTGACTCCCTCTCCTGTCGGCTGGCGCGCGTGCTGCCCCGGGGCGCACTTGCCGGGACACTTGCTGACGTGCGGCTTCAGTGACGCGTTGAATAGTGATCTCATTGGTCATTGCCAGAGGTTACCACGCAAGGGAATGCACAGACTTAAATGCCAAAATCCTCGTATATTAAAAAAATAAATAGGAAATAAATTCAGTTGATCTAGGCTGGTTTTTATCTTCCACTTTTATTGTTTATCTAATTACATCCAGAAAAGGTTCGTTTTAATAATACGACATCTGATTCTGGGACCCTCAGGCAGTCTGTGGGAGATAAGACTGGGGAGCTTACATGCAGGCCTTTGCTGCCAGTCTCAGCTCTGGGCCATAGTTTAATACGTACATTAGGTGTTTTAGTGATTTATCACTTCAAATGTATTTACGTACTTAGAATGCTAGTAAATATCTTTCTGACCTCTAAGGTGTCAGTATCTATAATTTGGTTCCTGTTGTATATTCCTGGGTCATGTGTTATCTTAAAGTTGCTGAGTGATGCAGGAGAGCTGGCCCTTGATTTTCCTGAATAAATGAATGAAGAAGACCTCCCACTGCACATTTAAATAAAGGGAACAGTACCTTGTCCCCCTTTTTAAGGACATTAACAGTTGTTGCAAGTATGAGTTGGCCCCGGATGAGTAAGCAAGGTCAGCACTGAGACCCCAGGGCTGGTCTCCCTGTGACTCCGGCCCCTTGTGATTGGCGTGTGCCTAACAAGGTGGGCGGGGCCGGGACCCGCTGCCTGGCCTCATTTGACTTGCCCATTCTGTTGCAGGGTCGTGGACTTCCTGCTCAAGGCCATCATGCGTACCATGTGGTTCATCGGCGGCTTCCACTGGGTGGCCGTGAAGGGGCAGCAGGCCTTGCCCACCGAGGCGGCCATCCTCACCCTGGCACCCCACTCCTCCTACTTCGACGCCATTCCCGTCACCATGACCATGTCCTCCATTGTGATGAAGGCGGAGAGCAGAGACATTCCCATATGGGGAAGTGAGTAAGACACTCCCCCACCTGCTGCTTAGTGCCGGCCACTCCCACGTGGAACAGGCACTGGGTCTTGCGTCCCTGTTTTTGTTTTTTTTTTTCCTTCTTTGAGATCTCCTCTGTAATAGCAATTGTTGTGGTTTTTATTTTTTACTAGCACACTGTTGCCCTCAAATATAACTCACTGAAATACTTCTTCAAGTTCCATCACAGAGGATTCCGTACAGAAGTCTGGGAACAGCTCCGTAGCTGCAGCCCAGTGCCCTAGTTACTGCGCTGTAAACCCAGGCGTGTGAGTGTCCTCGGGCTGCATGACAGATCACCAGAACTGGTGGCTTAAAACAACAGAAATGTGTGCCCTCGCTCTGGAGCCAGAAGCCTCCTCATCCTGAGGTGTCTCAGGGCTGAGCTCCCTAGGAGACGCCAGGACGGGGAGGGTCCTCCCTGCCTCTCCCAGCTCCTCGGGCTCCAGGCGTCCCTGGGCTTGCGACTGAGTCACTCCAGCCTCTGTCTCCATTGCCCCACGGCCCCTCCCTGTGTCTGTGTCTCTGTGTCTCTTATAAAGACACTCGCCATTGGATAATCCAGGGAGATCTCACTTCAAGATCCTCACATAATTACGTCTGCAAAGACCCTTTCTTTAAAATGTTCTGGGGGTTAGGATGTGGACACGCCTTTTGGGGGTCACCACTGAGCACAGTTACCGTCACTGTGGGAACTGTAAGTAACCCAGGGCCCTCGACGTGGTCCGCTCACGTCCCACGTGAAAACACGCCCAGCCTGGCCCAGCCCAGTCCAGCCGGAGCGCTGTCCATGGTGCCCCTGGGAGGGCTGGCCAGCCTGTGCCAGGTTCTCAACTGTCTGGGTCTTTCTCCAGCCGCCCCACCTGAGCCCTGCCCCTGCTCTCGTCCTCGCCCACCAGCCTCTCTGCCCTTAAACGTCCCTTGGGTTCCGGAGCAGGGCTGGTCCAGGCAGAGGCAGGCGACGCTGGGGCAACCCGACGGATGCAGGAACAGGGGCATCCACTAGCCCCTGCTCATCCACCTGCTCTGCGTTCCCACGGGGCACCTGACAACATTAGGGCTCATCTGACAGTTATATTGGAGACTGCTGGGTGGATTTCATTTTGATAAGACGGACATTTGGAGGAAAGGTCCAGTGCATTGCTGCTGTTAGCAAAATAGGTGCTGCCAATGTCGACTTGATTGAATGTGGGCCAGGTGGCATCTCTCCAGGCTGTGGTCACAAAGGGTCACAACAGGGCAGCTCTTAAACAACAGGTGTTCGTTACTCACAGGTCTGGAGGCTGGACGTTCAAGAAGCTCAGGGTCTGGTCTGGACTGGAGAGGACCCTCCTGTGGGTGGCAGGGAGCAGTTTCGTCACCCCCCCCCCACTTTCTCGCTGGTTTCCAGCAGTCAGGAGTCCGCGCCGTGGGGTCAGGCGCGGATCCTCGCCCAGCCCTTAGTGCAGCCCTTGGGACACACTGTCGTCCAGCCTGCTAGGGCGAAGGCAGTGTACCCCGATGTGACGCCTCGCCCTCTCTCGCAGCTCTGATAAAGTACATCCGGCCAGTCTTCGTGTCCCGGTCAGACCAGGACTCCCGCAGGAGGACCGTGGAGGAGATCAGGAGACGGGCACAGTCGAAGGGCAAGTGGCCGCAGGTAACGCAGCCCTGCTCGCATCCACATCCGAGCGGGCTTATTCCAAAAGACTAAACTTAAAGATTGGGGGCTGGGGAGGTGGGGAAGAAAGGAAAGGTCCAGAAGTTGCCTTCCCTGGGGGCTGAGTGTGTTTAGTTTCCTTTTAGTTGTGATGAGTGTGCAAATCTAAGAATCTGCTACATAGGTACTTTTGGTTCTGGAATTTTAAAATTTAAAGAAATAAGGAGAAACCATTCAGATCTGTATCTCAAGTTCCCCTGATCATCTTTGTTAGCAACAAACCTTTTTATGAGTTCCAAGTCAGAAAGAGCTGCTAACTAACCTGCCTGAGGTCGTTCGGCGTGGCCTCGTGTCTGAGGAGTGCGGGGCCCTCCGAAAAGAAGCCTGCACTGCTCCTGGGCAGCCCGGGCCGCGCCGCCTGTCGTGTGTCTGCTTCCCGCTCCAGGCCAGGAGGCGCTGGCCTCGGCTGGTGGTAGCTGAGGGTGGGTTTGACCCCTGCTGTACTTTTCTTCTTTTCACTCAAGCCAACGTGGAAAAGCTAGAAATCCCACAGGACTCTGGGTCTTGGCTTCTCAGGAAACACTGAGGTGCTGGTGGGGGGCCTGGCTCTCGGCACCTGTGCCCACGGGCAGTGCCTCGGAGTGGTTCCCTGGGTGCCATCCCTGCAAGTCCAGGGCGTTCCCGTTCCTCCTTCAGCTTGCTTGCTGGGCCCTTGGGTGTGGCTGGGTTGGACTCGTGCTGGCTCAGGTGCCACCTGGAGATGGTCTTCTCCTCAGGAGCCCGAATTGAAAGCACCCACCTGGGCTCTATTTGTCAGCAGCGGGGGGAGTTCACGTTCCTTTGCTGGAAGTCAGTACAAGTCAGTGACGGGAAGTCCAGTGGGGAAGGTGCTGCTTAACAGCAGATCCTGTTCATGCTTCCGCTTCCTGGGCCAGTGCCCCTCTTTCCCCAGGGCTGTCCCGAGCCCCAAGTCCTTTAGCCGAGGGCTGTCATCTGTGCGCCCGTGTCCTGCTCTGCCTGTGGGATGCCTGCTCTCGACTCACATCCACGCTGTGCGGCTGTGCCTGGTCCTGGTGGCAGCTGGGGGTGGGGACCATGGTTACCCATCTGCAGGCCCCTGGTCTGAGCAGGCACGTGCTGCTGTCTGTTTGCATTGCATCCAGACTTTAATAAATCCCCTAGTGAGAGGGGAAATCAGCATAAGCTTCCATAATGCATTGCAACTTGTTCAACTGAAAATGATTAAAGTATCTAAATTATGTCAGCAGTAGTGAATTAGATGGTGAAAATTGGCGCCTGTGAACTCTGAATTATGTCTCTTTATTGCTGAACTCTTTTTTTTTTTATTTCAAGATAATGATTTTTCCAGAGGGAACTTGTACCAACAGGACCTGCCTAATTACCTTCAAACCTGGTATGTAGTTTTCTTAATTACGTTGTTTTCTTTCTGAGAAAGCAGGGAAGACCCTCGCTCCCACCAGGCCTCTCAGCTGTCCCACCAAAGTGCAGCTCAGCCTGCAGGTGCTCCCGTCTGCTTCCGCCCCCAGGGCCACGGCCCTGGCGTTCTCCGAGTATTTTCCTCCAGCACAGATGCGGAGGGAGCCTCGCAGGCCCTGGGTCGCAGCTGACCAGGGAGGCCTGGCGGGAGTCCCGTCTTATCCCAAGGCCAGCATGCGACGTGCAGGCAGTGAGGTGGTGTCCCTTTGTCCCTTTCTCCCACAGGTGCCTTCATCCCGGGAGTCCCTGTCCAGCCTGTGGTTCTGCGGTACCCAAATCAGCTGGTGAGTCTGTTCTCCTGAGGAGTCGCGTTAAGGTGAACGGCCTGGGAGTGAGAACTGGGAGGTGTGTGGTCGCACCAGATATCTGATTCACCCCAGTATTCCAAAACATTCCCCACTATTCCGCACGGAGTCCTGCCTCCACAGGTCAGGAAGAGGTGGTCCTCCTCTCACGGGGCCAGGCCTGACATTGCATGTGAAGCCCCCCCCCCCCCCGTTGTCAGCAGCTCTCACTGCCCGGTGCACCCCCCAGGACTGTGTTAAAGGATGCTTACGTTCTGGAAGGCTGAAGCAACAAGGGAGACAGGGTTTAGGTGACTTGGTGGTTTGTGTGCCTTTATCTTGCCTTGGGTGGACATAGAGGTTTTGTTTGTTTAAGAGACAGAAGAGGTGTTTTGGCTTCAGAGCTCCTGAACTGTCTCGAGGGACCCCCAGCCCAAGGGCAGAGCCTGCCCGAGTCCTCAGAGCAGGTTCCGGCCGAGGCCCCACGGGCCTGTGTCCACGTTTGGGAAGCAGCCACTTCTTCCCTTCCTCTCGGGGGCCCTGTGGCCTGCTTTCCATGCCGGCTGTGTCTCGCTTGTGCTGGAACCCCGTCTGGTGGGTGCCCGCCTGCCTCCATGAGCTAAAAGCCTCTTGCAGCTGAGGGGGGCACACACGTACCCCTGTCCTAGGCCCTCTGGGCACTGGAGGCACCGGCGTGGTTTCCCAGGGGGGGACGAGTGAGGTGCATCTGCTCCTGGCACAGAGCTTTCTCTCCACTACAGTGCATCTTTATGACAGCAAAGGGGGAACGCACAGGTCAGGGCACAGAGGGCTCTGGTGTCCCCGGTGTAGATGGTGGCAGAACTACACACGACATCTGTGGACACAAGAGGCTTCTGGGCTGGACCCCTAGGACCCGCGGTCTGCGTATCAGACCCTACCCCTGCAGGGGTGGGTGGGCGCAGCCGAGGCTCTCCGAGCGGCCAGTAGATAAATGTCAGCCAGAACTGGTCGCCAAGCAAACAGATAAAATTATTCTCACGGCACAGCTGAAACTGAAGAGGTGTATTTATTCACTCTCCTCTCGAGACTCTGACATCGGTGTGTAGAATTCTAGAGTTTCCATTCTTTAAGTCTGTTCCATGGGTGTATTCTAAGCAGGGTTCCTTACTGCGTTCCAGCCGCATTCAGCTCAGGAGTCAGGGGAGCGTGACATCTGCTTTGCCCTGGGCTGTGGGCCCACGTCACGTGCTCAGCTGCGTCCCCAAAGGAGCAGCCCCGCTGCCGGCAGGTCTGAGCACAGACCCATGCCGAGGGGGCAGCATGGGGGATGGGAAGCCCGTGCCATGGGTTTGCAGGGGCCTCTGAGGTGGCGTGCAGGGGGTGTCGGGACGGTGGAAGGCAAAAGCTCATGTAGGTGACCAGTGTCAGGGTAGAAACAGGCACCTGTCATCCATTGTCCCCACCTGGGTGCCCGGTGCAGAGCTGAGGCGCAGCTGCTGAGGCTGCGGATGGAGAGAGTCTGAAATGCCCCCGTGGGGCCCTGGGCTGGCATGGGGGTGCAGGAGACACAGCCCTGAAGCGGCTTGCTCTACCGCTTCCCAAGCCTGGGGCTGACCCACAGGAGTTGGGGCACGGGGAGGGGTGGGGTGCTGGGATGGAATGTGGCTGGGTGGTGGTGGCAGGCAGGCAGGTGTCGCAGGCCCCGCTTACCAGGCCTGCGCGCTCACGCCGGAGAGCAGATGGACACAGTGGGCTGCTCGTTGCAGACTGGAGTTGCCAGGGACACCTTGAGAGGGGAAGGGCGGGAAAGGAGAGCTGGGGCTGGGTCTTAGGTGGGGGTTGGAAGTGGTGACCTCGGACCTGTGGGAAGAGAGGTGACTGTATCTGGGGGGAGGTCTGGGGACCTGGAGGTGGTGAGTACCCGCCTTCTCCTTTGCCACAGAGTAGACTTGGAAAGATGGGGAGACCAGCATTGCTGGGGTCAGTGAAGGGCCAGGATGAGGGCCGGGACGGGGGCGGGCGTGTCTGCGGAGGGAGGAGCCCCTGCGGCCCCCCCGGGAATTCCTGGGGCCTGACTCCGAGCCCCGCTTCACCCGCTCGTTTCTTGCCCCCAGGACACCATCACGTGGACATGGCAAGGCCCCGGAGCGTAAGTCAGACGTTGTGCTGTCTTGTTTGTCCTGTTCTGCCCAGAAGCGCCCCAGTTGCTTTTAGCAAACGTGACACCTGAATACAGGACCTGCTGCCGTTTGATAGCAGTTAGATGTAGCCCACTGTGAAAACTAAATGTAAAACTCAGACCACCTTCACACCTGGGTTCCAGGACTCAAATTAAGTGCCGTCAGCCCCATCGACAAAACAATCATGAGAACTCTTCTCTCCCTGCCCTGTGTCTTGTCAGCTCAGCGGTTACCATCCTGTCCCTGGAACAGGCAGCAGACCTCCAGGTGGCTGCCCTCCTCTTGCTCAGCTATGGGGTGAAGGGCACAGGGGTTCCAGGCACATCGGGCCCCCAGGCTGCTGCTGTTGGAGCTGGTGTTTTGAAATGGGAGGGTGGGTGCTGAGGCCGGGCCGGAGCCCTCCCAGGGCCCCCAGGCCTTGCCAAGGTGTTTGGACTGGGACTCTGGGGAGGTGCCATGAGGGGCGGCATGTCTTGAGTGGTGGTCTTCGCATTTCTGAGTCTGGGATGTGGATGATGGGTCGTGAGAAGCGAGGGGGAAGCTGGGAGAAGGGTTGGGAAGGGGCTCCCTTGGGGCCTGGCGGACTGGGCTTGGAGCTGTCAGTGATGAGGCAGAAGTGGGGTGTGTAAGAGTTAAGAGGGGGACTGTGTATCAAGGGGGTAGTGAGCGAAGGCCCAGGGACGGGATTCTGGATGGCTGGCTCCCCAGCTCCACCCCTGCAGGTAAAGGTCTGGTGATGCTCATTCTGAGGAACTCAGGAGCGCTGGGAGCCAGGCGTTGGGATGGCATGGCCTAGGGCCTGTCCAGTCTGCGCTGCCAGGAGAGCTCCAGGGCCAGGACAGGTGAACGAGGCTCCTGAGCTGGAAGACAAGCTTGGGAAGTAGTGGCTTGCAGTGCAAACTGAAGTTGCAGAGGCAGGTGTATTTAAGAAGAAGAGGGAAGACTGACTGCTATTTAATAAAAGTAGCCCTGTCTCTCACTGCTGTTTCAAGGTTCGGATTTAGGCTGAGGAAGGCTCAGCACCCATCTGAAGGAGAATTAACTGTCCAGTGCTGCCCTCTGCAGGGCAAGGGGTCTGGAGTTTTGCTCCAGATTTGGAAGTAATTTAACTCAATGGAATTTTTTTAACCAGTGCTATAAATCTACTTGTTTTTAAGGTTGGAAATCCTGTGGCTCACCCTGTGTCAGCTTCACAATCGAATTGAAATTGAGGTTTGTATAGATAGAGTGTTACACAACGGTATGTTGGGGTTATAGATACATTGTATCAATGTCTTTATAGATTTAGTATTATATTAGTGTCTTTTCAAACAGTGTGATGTTGTCTGTATAGATACAATGTTATGTAGGCATCTGCATAGACAGTGTTACATTGTGTTGTGTTGGGGTCTGTATAGATATAATGTTGTACTGATATCTGTATAGATACAATGTTATATCATCTGTCTCTTTGAACTCTTCTCCTTTCTCACTGGCTCCTCAGAGGTGCTTCCCAGTAATTTGGCATCAGTCAGTTTGTGTCTCTTCGATGATTTTGAACACATTCAAATAAGATGTTTAAAATCTATAAGGAAGCTAAACCCATCATTCTTTTATTATGCTTAGTACAGCTTGGGGGCATATAGAATTGACACATGTGCAATGAATAACATTTTAATTTTTACCTGACACTAATACTGCTGAATCCATACTGCTAAATGTGTCTGTCATGCTGTCCTCTCTCTGACACATGGTCAGGTTGTGTGGCCTGCCTTTCAGTTTGCATCCCGTTGAGTGTCTCAAAGTCGCAGCACCCATCCTGTCAGCCGAAACAAATTAACTTATATTTGTTTGGCCTATAAATGTTATCTGAGTGAATGAGGAGTAGAGTTTATTTTCTTAAAAAAAGGAATTAACAGGCTACTCCTATACCTGAAAATTAAAGATGAGTTATAGGCAACTTAAATATTTAATGAAAGAGTTTACTACCTTCTGATAAATTTTGCAGAGTAATACTGACTATAGATTAGCCAGATTTCCGCCAGGTTTTTCACTTCAGTGAAATGTAAGCCGTTTAACACTCAGGACTGAGCTGAAGGGGCCTTGGCCCACGTCCAAGTGTAGCAGGGCCTCTGCTTAGGATATTTTATGTGGCTCACCTGCTGGTGGAAACGCTCTATTTCAGACCTGGCTTCTAATCGTAAGCGTTGGAAAAGAAGCTACATGGCTCGTGAAATCCGTCTAAGTGTACTGCTCCAGGATGCTGATGCGAATGTGAGGAGCTACTGCAGTTTACGTGGCTCTTTTCAATGTAGCTGGAAGCGAATAGAGTTCTGTGATGAGAATTAATAGGATTTCAGGATGTTCACGAATTCTTAAGTATCCGTGTTAAACAAAAAGGGCTCGTGGTGGTTTGCCTCTTCTGCATGGTAGGACTTATTTAAAATGCCTTGCAAGTGTTGCTCACTTGAAGACATGTTCGTGAGATTACTTACTGTAATCTCCAAGTGCAGTCAATGTCAAAAAGCTAATAATTGTCTCTTAGATAGAAGTAATCGTGTTGTCCTCAGCACAAAACTGACAACTTCAGACATGAAAACATACATGTACATAACTCTTTTGTGTCTAAAGACCAAGCCCCCATGTAAAATTACAAATGCAGTACACGGGCCACAGCTTCAGTGTTGGGGGAGTGGGCACCCGCAGGGGAAGTGGTGAGCTGGGAGCATTCCACACACGTGTCCGTGTGTGTGCGTGCATGCACCACCACTTCGGAGATGATTCTGGTGGGAAGTGCAGTGGCAGATCTCAATTCTGTCGGTCTCACGATGGTCACTTAAGGTGGGCGTCGGTGAGGTGGGTGTCTTGTGACACCGTGGGAGTGACACGGCCTTCTCCGTGTGCGCAGTTCCTCCCAGTGTACAGCCCCTCGGAGGAGGAGAAGAAGGACCCCGCCCTGTACGCCAGCAACGTGCGCCGCGTCATGGCCGAGTGAGTGTGCCTCCCCTGCCCCGGCCTCCCCGGCCCCCGTGACTTCCCCGGGGGTCACTCAGGACTCTCGCCCACCTGCTGTTTTCCTCCCTAGCACTGCCACAAATGAGGAAGCCAGCAGCACCAGGAAAACAGGTTCTTGACAAGCTAGTGAACAAGCATGGACTGTGCCTTTGGGGCGCACACTGTGCGCCTCTGGCTTTTGTCAGATGACATTTCTGTTGTTCAGCATTTCGGAAGATGCCGTGTCATCACTTAATTTCACAAACGTCGAATGTGCCCACATCCACCAGTGCCCCCGGGTGCTATGTGTGTGGGCACCCCCATAGTGACCAGCAGCGGAGCCCGCGGCGAGGACACTCATCTGTGCAGACTTCAGGGTCTGGGCAGGAGCGTTCGAGAAGCCTCGCTGCCCCTCTGCACGTACAGTGTTTATTAATGCTCCTGCTCCACTGCACAGGCTCCATGTGGTCGCTGTACACCTAGGCTTGCGCGGTGACTCGTCCCACTGGCACGGCCCCTGCACCCCAGTCAGGACCTCGTCCACCTCCTCTTTCCCGCTGCTCCCGGCTTGGTCCAGGCAGTGGTAGTGTCAGCTCACGCCCTTCCCCTTCCAACCACCCTCGTCCCTCCTGTCCCGTCCTCTCCCCCTCCCCCCTCTCCCATTCCAGGGCAGCAGGGGCTGCCCCCCTCACCCCGACTCTGCCCCCCTCGGTGCCTGGGGGCTGCTCAGCAGCGCAGTGGCTCTGACAGTGAGTGTCACTCGTGTGGGGTCCACACAGCTGCATAGGGAGTGTTAGCAGTTGCCCTTGCTGACCCGTGTGACGTAGCCTTCTAAAGTAAAGTGCCTCAGTGTGTGCATTGCACCCTCACTTGAGTGCGTTCTGCGAGACTGTACTGGGCAGAACCGTGCCTGTCACCTCAACACGCGTGACTTAGAACTCAGCAGCGTGTTCAGTCTTTGTCCACGGGCTCCTCAGAAAGTTGGGTGCTAGGGACAGAGTGCACTGTTGCCCCCCCCCCACCCTCGGAAACTCATCCTCCCTCTCTCTGAATCACACACCAGCCACCAGGCTGCATGTGACCCTCAGCTGTTGGGAAGTCAGGGCTCTCAGTGACATCCTTGTTGTGCCTCTTGATAAAAAAAATAACATCCACCCATGGAACGGCAGGCTCAACGGGTTAGGAATAAATGTTCTCAATACACATTGAAATTAACTATTAACAACTTTAAAGATGTGTATCCTAAAGAAACTATCTTAATAGTGGGGAATGGTGACATGCTCAACGGAAAAGGACAAATAACCCATGGGGCCCCCTCTTGTCACAGAAGAATTTCAGTGGGTCGTCACCGCTCTCGTCTTTGGCCTCACCTCCGAGTGCGCCCAGGCAGGGCCTGGATCCCCAAGGGCCCTGTGGGCGGCCCCTGAGCTGGCCTCCTCCCTGCCTGCCCGTGGAACAGTCAGAGGCACTGCTGGCACGACTCTGACTCTGTCCCCGAGGGGCCGTGCCTGAGCTTGGGGCGGGGTGGGGGGGCGGGGGGGAGGGGGGACGCTGGAACTTCTGTTTCTGTCTCACGTTGCCGCATGCTGTTTTCGTGGCAACGGGAACTTTTGCTCTAATGACTGAAACTCGTTCCGTTATTAGGGTGGGGGCTGCTTAGTTTTCTATGCTGGGTAAATTTCCTACCTTGAATGTGTTCTTCCATGGTCAGGAAAGTTTTTTCCCAGGGACTCGGACGCAGTTCTGAGAGGGGCTGAGTTCTGACTCTCTCCCCAGATTCAGGGCCGTGCGAGCTCTGGTAAAAGCGACCCCTGGTGACCTGTGAAGAGTGAGCTTCCCCTCAGACACCCCCGTGGGACAGTGTTATCATTAGGGCCCAAACGCAGGCTTGTTTTCTAGTCAGGCGCAAACCGAGATAATTCTGAGCTAACAGCAAAGCTTGGGGCAGCCCCAAGTTCCAAGTAATTGAAATTCACGGTCAGCTATCAGGCACTTATGTTTAGTGCTGAACATGGACTTCCCACGTCACCCTTCTGTGCTCCTCAGTATTCCGAGTCTTCCCCTCACGTACAAATCGCCGTGCGGTCAGGGTGCTGTGGGGGCTCAGGGCAGGATGTAGGGTGCACACACCAGCATCACCTCTGCCGGCGTTTGTGCCGGCACCGGCAGAGCCGACTCAGGAGAGACTTCGGGGAAGCCCCTGCAAAGTGGGGCGGCTGCCCCACCGGGCGCTCACGGTAGGGCCCTCCTCTCTGCTGTAGGGCCCTGGGCGTCTCCGTGACCGACTACACCTTCGAGGACTGCCAGCTGGCCCTGGCGGAAGGACAGCTCCGTCTCCCTGCCGACACCTGTCTTCTAGAATTTGCCAGGCTGGTGAGGGGACTGGGGTGAGTGCCTTGTTTATTTGTTTACTCTTGAACAGTTAGGACGCTCGCTCGAAATCTGTGACAAACTTCAGGGCTGCGGTATGTGACAGGCAGGCGTGTCGCATTCGGCAACAGTGAGAGAAAAGCTTTGTACTGGACCAGAAACGTCTGAGAGAACCTCACAGGGGCCTCCACCCTGCGGGTGTCGGTGCCCGGGCTGGAGGTCCCAGCGGCACCCATGCACTGCCTGACGTCTCTCTGTCGGGACAGGGAATCGAGGAGAGAGTTGGGGTGCTTATGCTGGGGATTTGGATTTTGTTTTTTTTTTTAATTCAACCCACACAGCAGTGAGCGCCCTAGAACCCCCCAGGGGTTGATGCCAGCTCCTCTGGAGCCGCACCAGGAGGCTGTCCTGGTGCGCGCCCCGCCGAGGGTGCAAGTGCTTCTGCAGACGCTTAGATGAGACTCGTTGCATGCCTTCGAGTTATTAGAAGCCTCTTCTTGAAAACTAGCTGCTCGGCCTGTATCTAATTTTGATATTTTGGTAGGTCTTAAAACAGTGAACTTCCTGTTTATGACATTCTGGAATCTTATTGAAATAAATCTTTTTCCCTTCTTTGTTTAGCCTGAAACCAGAAAAACTCGAAAAAGATCTGGGCAGATACGCAGAAAGCGCTCGGATGAAGAGGGGAGGGAAGATCGATGTCTCGGAGTTTGCGGCGTACCTGGAGGTGCCCGTCTCGGACACGCTGGCCGACATGTTTTCCCTGTTCGACGAGGTAGCCCTGCCACCTGGTGGGGGCGGGAGAGGGGGCGGCAGAACCTCAGCTTCTCAAAGTATAAATTGTTTTCCTTGGAATATAAACACTGTTTAGTCAATTTTGGAAGTAGAGAAGGGAAAACCACTCCTAAATGGCCCCATTTCTACCCGCCCACCTGTCTTGTAGAATATTTTCTCCCATGTTTTTAAATGCACAAAAAAACCTGACGTTTAAATTCATGTTTGCTGACATACACGTCTGTAGTTTAGGTTTCCTTACATCAGGTCACGTGGGGACGCCGGCCGGTGGCGCCTGCCGCCCCGTCCCAGAGGCCCCCGCTGACCCAGCCCAGCCGGAACTCCGGTCACGCGGTGTGCGCGAGGGGGCTCCTTCAGCCACTTGAGCCATGAGTGTTCCGTGTGAACAACAGAGTGTGTTCCATGTGGACACATGGCTTCATGCGTGTAAAATGTACCATGTTCCGTGTGACAGTGTTGCATGTTCTCTGTGCCCGCAAGGCCCAGCGTAGTCTGGCGTGGCAGAACCAGGAGAGTCGGGTGGCTGGTGCGGGCACAGGAGACCTCGTGGGTCTGCAGGTCCTGCAGCGCCATCGTGCGACGCTGAGTGGGTGGGCCCATCTGGGGGTCCCCCAATTACAGACGGCTTTCCACAAGTTGAGGCGGTGGGTTTCTGTTCCTGTCAGAGCCACAGCTGCGGCTGCATTTCCCTGGGCACTTTGCCAACAGTGTCAGATTTGAAACAGGAGAGTGAGCGTGGTCTCAGCTGGTGATGCTGGTGACGTGTTGTTAGTAGGGAGCCTTCGTCGAGCACCAGACATCTTACCACAGCGAGTGGGCTGTTCGTTTTTATTGTCGAGTGGTTCAGGGGCACAGTGGTCTTACAGGTAGGGGTATCCTCCTTTTCACGGAGAGCCTCAGGCTGGAGGCCAGACACCCTCCCAGAGCCAGGCGTACGTAGGCTTGGGGCCTGGCATGAACTCGGCCTGCGGGGCACCTGCGGCTGGCCGGGTGCTGTGTGTCCGCATCCAGTACGGACCCACCTTTATTCTGTGTGCTCACTGTGTGGTTCCCACGGGCGAGGTTATCAGGGCCCAAATGTGACCCCTGCTGTTGGCAGGTCTTTTTCTAAAAGGAAAGCTTTCACAGGCAACAGTCATCATGCCTCACATACTGAAAATTGGTTGTAGTGGCCTAAAAAGGTGGAGCTACCTTGGAGAAGTCAGTGGTTATGAACGCCCTTCCAAGTGCTCTTTTTGTATAGACAAATGCTCTCAGATTTTTGTGGAGCTAACCTTTAGTTAATGCACAGCAGCCACTGTTGAACCCTGGCAGGAGGTGGCTGAGCTGCCCCTGAGAGTGTCTCCCTTTCACAGAGTGGGGGCGGCGAGATGGACCCGCGGGAGTACGTGGTCGCCTTGTCTGTCGTCTGTCGGCCGGCCCAAACCCTGGACACCATGCAGCTGGCATTCAAGGCAAGTGCAGGGTGCATGTGAGTTACATTTATGGGGACAGTGAGACACGGGTCACATCGGATCCGTGATGCATCTTTATAGTCCCCAGGCTGGGGATAGTCCCCAGGCCAGCTGACAGGCTGGCTCTGGCCATGCCACCTGCTGGTATGGGAGCCTACTGGAGAGCTGGAACCCCGAGGGAGGAAAATCGGGCCACTCTGGACAGGGGGTTAGGGCTGGCAGGGCCGAGGACGAAGGAGGAGGACCTCGGGGTAACGCCGGGCTTTCCTTGCAGATGTACGGGTCTCAGGAGGACGATAGCATAGACGAGGACGCCCTCTCCAGCATTCTCAAGACGGCCTTAGGGGTGGCGGAGCTCTCTGTGACCGACCTCTTCCGGGCAATCGACCAGGAGGAGAAGGGGAGGATCACATTCGGTGAGAGGCTCTGGGAGCAGGGAGGATGGCCCACTTGTACAGAAAGTGGGGGACGCACCTGGAGCCCCTGACCACCTGTGCTCGCCAGGCCCCCTGTGTCTCCCGTAACATGGAGATTCTCACAAGGAAGGTCCTTCTCTGAAACCTGGCCAGGATGGGTGGGAGTTTTCAAATCCGATTTCTTCAGGCGATGAATAGAATCAAATTCCAAAAGCTCAGCTGTAGAGCTCGGACCCAGGACAGATGCCGTCCTGGGGGCTGGGGGCATGTGTGCCAGGGCAGGGCAGGGCATCCACAGTCAGGGCCCCAGTGCAGGAGCAAGTCCACCTGCCTGTGAGGACCAACTGTTGGGCAGCTCCTCTCCGGGAAGGTTTGGCTTCATTAACTGTGGCTGCACAAAGCAGGTTGGTCAGATCCTCAAGCGCCAGGATCTGAAACCCTCCCGTGGGCTGGGGAGGGCGGCCAGGCAACAGGATCTTGGAAGGCAGCCTGCTCCGCACACGGCCAGCGTGCACATTTCAAAATGAGCATGTGTTCTTGCTACAAAACAGGCAGACATTTGCTCAGGAAAGGTCAGCGTGCACGTCTTGTTTGGACATGTTTTAAAATTGCATCCAAATGTCAGACACGGCTGGGGGTGGTTGCCCGTGCATGCGCACACACCGTCACGCATCTGCGTTCAAGTAGGCCGTGCTTCTGGTGGTTGGGGGCTGCCGAAGAGGTTTGCAGTGAGCCTGGCCAGCTGCAGACTTTTCCAGTAAAGGCCATTCCGAGCTTCCCGCAAGGAGACAACACGTGTGTCCTCGGAGCCTGCAGGCTCCTGAGCTTCACCTCTCTCAGGGTGCCTGAATGCGAGCCCGAGGGCACTCTCCACCCCAAGACTGGACCCTGGCCCACTAGGAGGTGCACAGGCACAAAGCCACTCGGGCCCTGTGACCAGCTTGGAGGGTGACCTCCGTGCGTGCCTGGTCTCCCCAGTGCTCAGGCATGTCCACCAGCAGCGCCCGCCTCACGGAGGGAGCATCAGTCACCACCCTCTGTCCCATCCCTGACCCAGCTCCCGTGGTGAGCAGCGCCTCTGTCACACGTGCTGAGTGGCCTAAGTACCCACTGAATTCAGGGGCGTGTGACTGTCTGAGGTCTCCCCAAAGCAGGAGTAGCTGAGAGGACACAGTGGCTGCCTTTTGCTTCTGCTGTGATTGTGTGCACAGCAGAGAAAAGTCTAGTGCAGGCTCCTGTCCTCACCTCCAAGACCATCAACATGGACCCCAACCCTGCACGGGAGCTGCGGGCGCGCCTTAGGCCCAGGAAAGAGCTCCACACTCTAGATGTCTGCCCCCAAGGCCCCAGCAACCGTGGTGTCCTTGTCTTTCCAGCCGACTTCAGCAGGTTTGCGGAAATGGACCCAGACTTCGCAGAGGAGTATCTGTACCCCAACCAGTCGCCTTTCGACAGCTGTGCACAGACACCCCCTGCTCCTACCCCCAACGGCTTCTGTGTTGACTTCAGCCCTGAGAACTCGGATGCTGGCAAGAAGCCTGTGCATAAGAAGCTGGACTAGGCCAGAAGGTGCTGAGGAGACGAGGCTGCTCCCTGGCGGTCACTGCCCCGCCTCCACGTGGCCGCGAGCCCATCCGCTGTGACCACCTCCGGGCTCCACTCTCCACACAGGCTGCACGCTCACTGTCCGCAGGCCCGCCTTCCAGAGGCTGGGTTTGTTTTCACGCTGCTTCTCCGTGAGGCACCAGCCTGGGGGGCACCAGCCTGGGGGGCGCCTGGAAGGAAAACCTCATGCTCGCAGCGTCTGGTCTCCTCACAGCGGGACCGCACGGGGTGTGCCCTGGGCATCGTGGCCTGGCTCCAGGGGTCTCCCTGCCAGGCAGGTCCTCGGGGGGCTGGGTGGAAATCAGGCGTGGCTTGTTTCCACCCGCGGTGCCCTGGCTTGGGGTTTCCATCTCCCTGTGTCCACACTGCCCCTGCGGCCAGCACGCTCGGGAAGGGGACACGGGGCATGTGCTTCGGTTCCAGCACAGACCCTCTGCCGACCTCTGGGGGCACCGTGCAGCCACCCGCCATCTGGTTTTTAAACATTTCTATATTTGTGGGAGTTCATGAGTATTTTATAAACTTCATTTAGATACTTCAGGAGACACTTAGCATTTTTTTAAAAAAAGAAAGAAAATTGTTTTTCTACTTCATTTTCTTTTGAGGGTCAGAGGATATTTATTTATAGGCCTTTTTGATAGAATCTGAGGCTGTCTGTGTCTTTGACGTCACTCTCTCTCCGGCCTCCCTCGACCAGGTCAGTTTCTCTCCTGTCTGGGCCACCACGAGCACCAGCCCAGAGCCGCTGTTTCTGATCCTCAATCCTTTTTAATCCCCCTCTTTTTTTATAAATGTTACCAGCTTGGTATTTCTGTTTTACTATGATGTCATCTACTTCACCGTAGCGTCAACGCCAGTGGAAGCGTTGACTGTGGAGGGCGTGAGTGAGGACAGAGGACTGGGCCCGGCCATTTGTTGTGTGGGGGGGCTGCGCCCGGAGCAGACCGCAGCCCCGGGGCAGGTGTGCGTGCAGGCCCGTCTCGGGGGTGACCGTCTCCCCTTGGCTCCGGCTCCATGGTGAGCAGGACGAAGGAGCCGCCCCTGCAGGCAAATGAGCCGTGTGGACAGAAACGGCGTGGAGAGGAGCGAGAGCAGGTGACGGCCTCGTGCAGGTAGATGTCCCTCCTGTCACAGTGACAAGGGTGGCATGGGCTCTGACAGAGAAGAACTCAGGCCCCTCCCCGAGTCAGGTGAGGAGAGGTGCTTCCTAGCACAGGAAAGGGGACGCAAGGGTGTCGCCTCTGCTCTTCCCACAGTCGCCATGATGCGTCTCCTCAGGACACGACTGGGACCTGTCCTTAAAGCACAGTCATGACCGCAGACTCCAGTCTGTGCCCTGAAGCAAGGCCTCGGGGTTCCTTTGGGGAAATCATGTTTTGTTTTCATCTCTAAAATGAATGTTACATTAGGGGCTTGAAAGTGACCACCAGGGCCAGAAGCACAGGGAAAAACATGTTTACTAACTTCCTGAGGCACCACGGGCACTTCTGCCACTAGACGTCAGGACTCCCCTCGACGCCCGCCAGCGGTCGCCTCCGCCTCGTTCCAGCTGCTCACTGCCAGCCAGGACGCCACAGGGCCGGGCGCGCGGCTTGTCCGACACAGCAGGGTCTCAGATGCAGCCTTGGTAGCTGACGGTAATTGATTTTATAATCATGAAACGCATAGAGGTTCATTTTTAAAAGAGGAAACCCCACCCACGACCAGTGAAGGAGGCGAACAAACTAAGATGTTCTGAGGGAAGGGGCCCGAGCCCGGGGCCTCCGTCCTTCGTGTCTGTGCATGAAGGGTTTTTGGAATGAAGTGCCGCCATGCATTTTCAGGAAAAAAATCCCTGAGAAGCAGACTTGGAATGGATGTTTGCTCCTCCGGATCCACTTCCCCTGTCGTAGTGACCGAATGGCATTCAGAGCTGTGAGTGTACATAGTGTCAGAACTTCCTCCCTTCAGTGTGAGACAAGGACGAAGCGGGAGGGCAGCCCCGGCCCTGCTGCCTGCTGGGGCCCTGCCGGGTCTCGGGGGCCCTGCTGGAAAGGGTGCCGTGGAAAGAACTTCGGATTTTCAGTGGAATGAATAAAACAAAGTCCTATGTACTTGAAGATGCTCTTTGTTACCTGTGTTTTGTTTTGTTTTGTTTTTACTAGACAACACAAACATTTCTTAGGCTGTGATGGGAGAACCAGTCAAGATGAGATTTCTAGCATGTTTGGGAAACAGCTGAAATTTTGCAGAAGCAGCAGAGGGAAGGTCTGGAATGTTTCAGCACCACATGGACAGGGGCTGACGTTTCACAGAACTCGGGCTGCCTCCCTGGTGCATTGATTTAAGTAATTTCTCTATATTAAGCCCACACACCTTAAATACACCTTCCAGTCCTTCTATTAAATCAGCGAAGGATGTAGAAATAGAAGTAAAACAAATAGAACCATTGCATGACAATCCCGGACGCTGTGAATGAAAGCATCGAGGTGGTGGAGCCCCTGGCTTCAGGGCTCAGGCCGCCCTTGGGGACAGGGTTTGTTCACAGAAACGAGTGAAGCCGGGAGCCACTGGCAGGCGTGACAGGAGGGCACGCACCACAGTGCCATCGTTCATGCAACAGCCCTTTTTCTTTGCTGCTTTGTGCTTGTGGGCCCTCTTTAACATAAATGTGTATTGCCTTTTGGGTTAAATTTATTTAATTTCTTTAAGTAGAGGGAGGGGATAAAGCAAAGACAGGATCTGGACATTTCATATCCAAAGATGGACCCAGGTTTCTGGTCAAAGCCACGGCAGCCGCAGAGCAGAAAGAGGGCGGTGTGGCTTCATGCGGTGATGCAGGGGTGTGCCTGCCGTGGGCCTGCCTCCTCCTGTGTGTGCTCAGCTCTCCTGCATTCTCACTGAAGCGGGCTGCTGCTGGAGACGCCAGCAGAATCCAGAAAAGAACGTCTCTGCCCTCCCCGCTGCCACCCTGCCAGGCTTGGCTACCACCGTCCCGGTCCCTCCCCCGCGTCTGCTGACCCAGCTGGGAGCTGCTGATGAATGGCCAGCACTGTCTGCCCCACAGCTACGCAGCCTCCATTCTCATCCTTCTTCCCATGTGTGAGGCACACCCACTATGTGCGGCACACCCACTGTGTTTCCCCCTGACGTGATATGATGACCATGCCTCCAAACAGATCCTTTGGCCTTCTCCCAAAAACACAATTCTTCAAGTCCTTCTCCAGGAGACGTTAATTCCAGCATAGTCACATGCCTGCCTGGATATGCTCTAACATGAAAACAGTTACAGAGTTCATCATTCACCCCTGGGTTTAAAAAGGTTAAAAAAAAAGGTTTATTCACCATCATTTATCTTCCCTCTATAACATAGTAGCAGACACCAAGAAGTAGGGGAAGTGAGTAGTTAAACTAGTGTGCATGCTGGCTCACACAGGCACACACGTGCACACACACCAGGCCAGGAAGACAGTCTGTGAGGTCACCATTTCTGTAGCCAGTTAAGAAGTTGCAGCAATTGTACTGAAGTCCTCTACCCCACCCCACCCCCCAGTCTGTGGTCCATGTTTGCCTGGGTCCAACCAGCACTTTCTAAAGTTAGGATTCTTTACCTGGTGACGGGATTCCAATTTTTATCCCAAAGTGTCTGTCTTGCATTTATTAGTCACAGTAGGAGTCGTGAAAGTGCGAACGGGAGCCCAGTGGTGCAGTAACCACACCCCACTCCCTACCTGTCGTTAGTGTTGGGGCCGTTCTGCCGTCCTGCTGGTTCAGTCACTGGAGTGGCCGCACGTAGCTGCTGAGCATCTGAATCGCAAGTGCGATGGGTTCGTTGTGTCCCCAAGTTGGAGCATCCATCCTCCAAATCCCTTTTAGGCGGAAGAGCCCAAATGTGCAGAGAAGAGAAAGGTGAACAGGCCGGCCAGTCTGTGGCTTGTCTCCTGTCGTAACGGAGCCTCGGGATTCAGGGTCAGCAGGTACCTCACTCCTCTCACCTTTTCTCAGGCCACTTGCAGCTCTGCCCAGCGTCTTCACTGTGTCCCAGCCTGGCAGCACCGCCCCTCCTCTGGGGCTGTGCCAGGGGAACAGCGCAGGGAACGGAGTGACAAACCACACTCTAGGTGCTGAGTCTTCTATGTCCCACATGAATTGCATGGCTGCACTATAACTCCATGAGTAGGAAGTGTAGAGGTGGGCACTGCAAGGCAGGGAAAGAAAATGTGAACACAAAATGTAACACAAATCACCTTCCATTCTGTCAGGCCAGCTGTTCTGGGTAAGGGGAACTTGGGAGGAGCTGGAAGTTCAAGTGCATGCCTGTGGCCATGTTTCCTTTGCAGTAAAATGAATTCCTTAGCAATTTAATACAAGATAGGCAACGGTGAGTCAGCCACTCAGCCCACAGGTGGTGCAGAAGCAATTCCAAGGGCAAAAAAGACAAATCCTTATCAGGATAAGAGCATAAAAATGAGGACAAGCATGTTCTCCTGGCAATGAGAGTGTTCAGTGTGAAATGAACAGGACCCCCAGAAAATAGTACCACCTGGGGGTAAGCCCTGGACCAACTTCTGACAAGGTGGGAATCCAGAGATGCCCACATCGGCTGAGGCTGTTCTTGCTGATCTGTGTTGTTGACCGTGCATCATCTCAGTCCCTCCGGTGCCCCTGATTGTGGGGTCCAGTGAATACACACTGGGAAAGCAGCAGGCTGTCCATCACGTGTGCCTGGCCCTGGGCGGGGCCATGGAGAAAGACAGTATCAGTGAGCCGTGTGGGTCCCAGTGAAGCACAGGCCAAAAAAAACCTGACCCCCCCCAAAAATAAGGTGTTTTGTCACATGTGATTGGAGGCCCAGAAAAGGGGGGGGGGATTAGGACAAAAATGACGTGACAAATAATGGCCAGGGAGCTCAGTAAGCCACAAGCAGAATAAATATAACAAAAATACAGGAAGGCACACTATAAAGTTCTGAAAGCCACTGATAAAAAGAAAATCTTAAAAGCAGCCAGAGAAGAAGAAACATTATGGCAGAACCAAGGTAAGAGTGGTGTGCACACAGCGATTGGGCATGCCCAGAGGGTCAGTGTTGTTTGAAGATGGATGGAGATCATTTAAAGGCATATATCTTAAGTTCCCCAAAGAAAACACAGAGGTGTAACTAATAAGCCAATAGTGCACATAAGGTGGGATATTTTCAAGTAATTATTTTACGCAAACTAAACAGGAAAGTTAAGGAAAAAAGAACAAGGTACAGATAACACAAATAGAAAACAAATAGCAAATGGTAAACTTAAATTCAACCACACTAATAATGGCATTAAATATAGACTAAAAACTCCAACATAACCATTGCTAGACCAGATAAACAGAGAAACACCTGTTCAAACACATAGTGAAAGTAAAAGAATTGGGAAATACATGTAACACGCAAGCATCACATGAGGGAGTTGATGTGGCGAGAAGAGCATCCCACTGAGTGGCCTTTCGGGCCAGGAGAGGTGCCTGAGTCGAAGACAAATGTGGTGCGACAATAAAAGGTTCAGTTCAACTGGAAGACACAGTGACCCTACAGGTGTGTGTACATAATGACAGAGCTTAGCAGAAATAAACAAATCAAACCTCGCTGGAGATCTTAACACAGTCCTCTCAGTAATCGATGGAACCACTGGGGAAACATAATTATGTAGAACATTTGAACAATGCCATTTACCAAACTGACTTAATTGCCATTTCAAGTGCACATGAAGCAGTTGACAAAATAGACGACATATTTGGTGAAAGAGGTTAAAGAGTAAATCTCTATACATTTCAAAATATTTAAATCATACAGAGTATGTTCCCTCATGAAAGTGAAGCTAAATAACGGAGTCTGCCCATGTTCTGGGGGCAGAGCTGAACCACACAGCCCTCCCATCAGACGCCTGCTGAGGAGGGCAGCGGGGCTGACCTTTGCCATATAACATTGTCAGGAGCTGGTTAGATTCTGATTAATTCTTTTAAATGGAATAAAAAAAGAGTCCAAAATTTTGCTTTCAGTCAAAATAGAGGAAGAGAGATTGGATCCACACTCGCTCTTGGTGAAAAACTCAGCTGGGGTTTTTTCTCAGTAATGAGGAAATAGACAAAACACTGCTCTGGTCCAGTTGCGCAAAGCTTAAAAGCAAGAGCTGAAAGAATGGCCAGACTGTTTTAAGTAAGTTACCTGCAGCCCCAAACAAAGTTCCAGAATATTCCCAGGAATGCAGAATTATCCAGCACCCCACAAAGTAGAAATTACAATGTCTGACATCTAATCAGAAATCACCTTCAATGCAGAAAAAGCAAGAAAGATAATCTATAATTACTTAAATAAAACAGACCTAGATCCCTGGCTGGTTTGGCTCAGTCGATTGAGTGCTGACCTGCAAACCAAAGGGTCACTGGTTTGATTCCCAGTCAGGACACATGCCTGGGTTGTGGACCGGGTCTCTGGTGGGGGGTACACCAGAGGCAACCATACATTGATGTTTCTCTCCCTCTTTTTCTCCCTTCCTTTTTACTCTAAAATGAAGTAAATAAAATCTTTTTAAAAAAAAACAGACCCAGGGCCTGGCTGGCATAGCTCAGTGGATTGAGCGCAGACTGCGAACCAAAGTATCACAGGCTCGATTCCCAGTCAGGGCACATGCTGGGTTGCAGGCCACGGCCCCAAGCAACCCCACATCGATGTTTCTCTCTCTCTCTCTTTCTCCCTTCCTTCCCTCTCTAAAAATAAATAAATAAAATCTTTTTAAAAATTATTTAAAAAACAGACCCAGAAATGACTCAGGTAATGGAAATTAGTAGGTGAGATTCTTTTGTTTGACAACATAACTGTATTACTTTGTTCAGAAAGCCAGTGGCAGACAAGGTTTAACATGTTTAGTAGAGACATGAGGGATCTTTTATGAGATAACCATGAATTCTAGCATGAAAACTACAATGTTGGAACTTCTAGCATGAAAACTACAATGTTTGAAATGCAAAGTACCTAAGAGTAAGGGTGGATTTGCTGTCACAGAAGATACGGCAGTACAACTATTCAGAACAACATAGAGAAGAAGACAAAAATTGGAACTGACCATCAGTGAATCACAGAACT